CACACCTTGTAATACCATTCCCTTTTTACACTCCTTTCCCTTGGAGTCTCCCCAAACCTTCCCCTTCTCCTTCTCAATCTCATCCCAGGTGGAATCCTGCACCTGGTATGGGCCCTGATTCTTCCTTATCCATTTGTTCAAAAAATCCATTACCCCAGCTTGCCAGAACCTGCAACTATCATCACGAGAGTTTGCCATACCCTTTCCAAGCAGCTGCGCGGACTGCTGGGGAGGGGGGACTTACAGGCTGCCACTCACCTATCCGATGTGATCCATCCGAGTCACGGCACCAAGATGTTAGAGAGCTTATTCCTTCACTCTCACACTTCCCTGGTCCTTCTCGCCTGAACAGAGAGCAACAATACCCGAAGTCCGAAGGTGCAAACAATTCGATGTTTATTGGGGTAAACTTCCACCAAGCTTAAATCGAAGTTCCTTTTTTCCTTATTTTTGAATCCCAACTTACTTCCTGTTTGCCCCTAATTTATATAGTAATATTCTTAGTTATACCTTAACCAATCATTCTACTAAAATTTACCTAACCAATCCTAACATATTGTAACATGATTAGCTAACCAATTATATCCCACCACCTTAATTAGTTTACACTCAGCAAAATTAATTATACAGCAGACAGAAACAATCACAGAACCAGACAGAGACCATGCAAATAAACACAACAAAGTGTGAACTATAATGACAAAACAATACAGAAGTGAGGATTTCACAACTACATCTAAGACATAAAGGTTTCCCAACTATGGGTATGTCTACACTACGAAATTAGGTCAATTTAATAGAAGTCGATTTTTGAGAAATTGATTTGATACAGTCAATTGTGTGTGTCCCCACTAAGCGCATTAAGTCGGCGGTGTGCGTCCACAGTATCGAGGCTAGCGTTGACTTTCAGAGAGTTGCACTGTGGTAGCTATCCCACAGTTCCCGCAGTCTCCACCACCCATTGGAATTCTGGGTTGAGCTCCCAATGCCTGATGGGGCAAAAACATTGTCGCAGGTGGTTCTGGGTACATGTCGTCAGGCCCCCCTTCCTCCCTCCCTCCGTGAAAGCAACAGCAAAGAATTGTTTCTCGCCTTTTTTCCTGGGTTACTCATGCAGACGACATACTACAGCAAGCATGGAGCCTGCTCAGCTCACTGTCACTGTATGTCTCCTGGGTGCTGCTGGCAGATGCGGTACTGCAGTGCTACACAGCAGCATCCCCTTGCTTTGCCTTGCGGATGGCAGATGGTGCAATACGACTGCTAACCGTCGTCGTCGTCCCATAGGTGCTCCTGGCCGACCTCAGTTAGGTTGGTCGGGGGCGCCTGGACAAAAATGGGAATGACTCCAGGTCATTCTCTTCTTTAAGTTTTGTGTAATGGAGATTCAGTCCTGCCTGGAATATCATGCCAGCTGGAGGCTTCAGCCTCAGGCTGCTCTCCCAGTGGGCAGCACCGCACAGTCGCACCCACCCCAGCCTACCCCTTGCTCCCACGGCTCATGAAGCCTGGACAGTAGTAAGGATCTTATGCATCCGAAGAAGTGGGCTGTAGTCCACGAAAGCTTATGCTCTAATAAATTTGTTAGTCTCTAAGGTGCCACAAGTCCTCCTGTTCTTCTTTTTGCGGATACAGACTAACACGGCTGCTACTCTGAAACCTTTTAGTAAGGAGCAGTTCAACTATAGGCTGAGCAAGTGCATAATGGTGGTAGACTGTACCTTTGGATGTTTAAAAGCTTGCTGGTGCAGTTTACTGACTTGGTTAGACCTCAGCAAAACGAATATTTCCATCGTTATTACTGCTTGCTGTGTACTCCACACTATCTGTGAGAGTAAGGGGGAGACATTTATGGCGGGGTGGGAGGTTGAGGCAAATCGCCTGGCCACTGATTACGCGCAGCCAGACACTAGGGCAGTTAGAAGAGCACAGCAGGGTGCGCTGTGCATCAGAGAAGCTTTGAAAACCAGTTTTATGACTGGACAGGCTACAGTGTGAAAGTTCTGTTTGTTCCTCCTTGATGAAAACCCGACCTCTTGGTTCACTCTACTTCCTTGTAAGCCAACCGCCCTCTCCACCCCCATTGATTTCCGCTTGCAAAGGCAATGAAGTCATTGTTTCAAATTCATGCATTCTTTATTAATTCGTCACACTAATGGGGGGATAACTGCTAAGGTAGCCCGGGAGGGGTGGGAGAGGAGGGAAGCACAGGGGTGGGTAGTTGTAGGGGCACCCCCTAGAATGGCATGCAGCTCATCATAGAAGCGGCATGTCTGGGGCTCTGACCCGGAGTGGCCATTTGCCTCTCTGGTTCTTTGGTAGGCTTGCCTGAGCTCCTTAAGTTTCACGTGGCAGTGCTGCGGGTCCCTGTTATAACTTCTGTCCTTCATGCCCTTGGAGATTTTTTCAAATATTCCAGCATTTCGTCTTTTGGAATGGAGTTTGGATAGCACAGATTCATCTCCCCATACAGTGATCAGATGCAGTACCTCCCGTATGGTCCATGCTGGAGCTCTTTTGCAATTCTGGGACTCCATGGTCACCTGTGCTGCTGAGCTCTGCATGGTTACCTGTGCTAATCAGCTCGCCACGCTGGCCAAAGAGGAAATGAAATTCAAAAGTTCGCGGGGCTTTTCCTGTCTACCTGGTCAGTGCATCTGAGTTGGGAGTGCTGTCCAGAGCGGTCACAATGGAGCACTCTAAGATTGCTCCCAGAGGCCAATACCGTCGAATTGCGTCCACACTACCCCAAATTCGACACAGCAGGGTCGATTTCAGCACTAATCCCCTCGTCGGGGAGGAATACAGAAATAGATTTTAAGAGCCCTTTAAGGTGACAAAAATGGCTTAGTCGCATGGACAGATGCAGGGTTAAATTGATCTAACACTGCTAAATTCAACTTAAACTCGTAGCGTAGACCAGGGCTTAGTCTATTAATGAGTGAGTTCTTACCAAACAGAAAACTATCAAACTAAATTTCCTTTTACATCTTCTAGGCTCTTCCTTTTATCTGGAGGTGATAGATCAGATCACCTTTCTAACAGCCCCAGATTGCCTTATTTCAATATGACTGGTTTGAAATGTGTGAAGATGTGACCATACACTTTCCAGGTTATGGTTGTTCTCAGACTGTCACAGTGAGAGAAGGCCCTTACACAGGCAAAGAGTGATTTTGATTCTTTCTTTTAAACTTCTATAACTAGCTAAATGATAAACATATACCTAAATTCTTAAAGTATAGGCCTTTACAGACAGGCCTGAATATCTATATCCTAACAGCATATATCAGCCACTGAGTCCACAGGCCTGTCTTCAACATGGCATGCATTAAAAAGATGGGTTGACCCAGCTACATCACTCAGGGTTATGAAAAATCCACACCTCTGACTGACATAGTTAAGCCAACCTACCCTGCAGTGTAGACAGCACTAGGTAAACAGAAGAATTCTTCTGTCAAGCTAGCTACCACCTCTCGGGGAGGTGGATGAACTACAGCAATGGGAGAACCCCTCCGGTCGGCATAGGTAGAGTCTACACTAAAGGGCTACAGAGGTGCAGCTGCAGTGCTGCAGCTGTGCCATTGTAGCCTTTCAAGTGTATAAAAGCCCTTCAACTCCTGTATTTATAACCTCCCCTCCCCCCCCCCCCGCGCACTCTACCTCTGCCCTCAGAGGGTGACTAGGGTGTGACCTGCCAGCTGGGTTGCCCATAATGTAACAGAGGCCCAGAGTATCCAGCTAAAATCTATGTCCCCTCCCCACTGCACCTTTCGCTTCCTGTCAGAGAAATAAAGTTAAATGCTGCAGTACAAGGAGTGTGGGTCGCACTGACACAGATTCTGTGTGGGAAGTAAGGGGAGATTGCACTGGGCCCAATTCTTATAACCCTAAGGGCTCATTTACACCTGCTCAGAGTATAGGAGCCCTAATGTGAGAATCAGACCATACATAACTTTAATAATCCCTGTCTTAAGTGCAATATTAATCTCATCTTTAAATATGGAGTCATTACTGCCCTCTGTATGTATATTCTTACAATTATTTATTTATTTAGGAAGATTTGACAGGTTTACAGATCATATTTTGGGAGCACTTTGGCTCCTTTGAAATATAGGGTGCTGTTTACACTGTATAAATCTCCAATGACATAATCACCAGAAAGGGTCTTGGCTTCTCCCACAAGGAACTTCAACATCTTTACGTGCTCACAGTGGACAATGTTTTAAAATGAAAAATACATATGTTTGGGAAAAAATGGGACCTTCCTCTCCATTGCCCAGAGGTCACTCACCCCTCCAAGCATCATCTCCAGACAAGCCAATAGCTAGAGTTCATGAGAAAGGAAACTCAAGTGTTCCGAGTTGCAGACCTGGCCTGGAAAAGCCCTGCCGGGTGCAGAAAAGCCTTTATTGTGTTAGCTCCTTATGAGTTTGGAGCTGACGCGGTGATTGCAGGTCAGCAACGTACACTGAACAGGGACAAACAGGGCAGGGTTTTCTTTAAAGGAGCCACATGTCCTGGCAGTGCTGGATCTGGGAATTGCAGCAGGGAAGTGGGGCGCTTGGGGCGCTCATTGCAGGCCAATACATAGACTCCTGTTGTAAATCACAGCGATCTCACAGTGCTGCCGCTATCAGTGTGTGGGGTGAGCACTGAGCACTTTTACACAGAACGTTTTGGTAACCAGAGGCCTGATCTGCCAGGTGTTCCTGAGCACTCTCCACTGACATTGACTCCTTAGGGAGGAGAGAGCGCTCCACATCGTGCAAGCTCTGATCTCAGAGCTGGGGAATTCTTTCCCTCCATCACCTCCTGCATTTCTGAGTAAACAGACAAATGAAACCCTTGAGAGAGGTTGTTCCCTCTATCACTGCACAGTGGTGAGGGTTACCTTCCACTTGGCACAGAAACCTGTGTTTCACATTACACCTGTGTATTATTTCTAGTGCAGTACCAGCAGGGAGTGTTATTCAGCATATTTTGTGTTTCTGTGAGCCCAGGTCGTTCTGAGGCGCTCAGACTGTTGTATGGAGAGAGCCGATGCAATGGGACAGTCGAGATTTCCCTCCATGGTGTGTGGAGCAGAGTGCTGGATGACCAGTGGGACATGAACGATGCCACCGTGGTCTGCAGACAGCTCCAGTGCGGAGTCGCTGAGAAAGCTTATAATCCCCCTAAGTCTGAGCGAGGAACGGGCCCCGTGGGGCTGAAAAGTGTCCGATGTGCAGGAAATGAGACTCGTCTGACTCTCTGTGACAACTCCGCATCTGAGACAGCCCAGGCAGGAATTGCTGAGGACGTCGGTGTCGTTTGCTCAGGTGACTTAGTGTGACAATCTTATAAATATCCTGTACTTGTTCAGTGGGAACATGGCCCACCACAGGGCCTGCCTCCACCCCACCTTGTGCTGTGATCTCAGCAGTCCTTGAAATGATGTGGATCTGAGGTTCAAACTGTGACCCATTTATAGTAAAAATATATTATATACAGAACAAAGCATAGTCATGTTATAGGGTTAATGCACTATAGCAACTTCTCTCTCGCTATCTCCTATATTTTTATGTATTAGAGCTGTTCAAAACATTTCATCAAAACTTTTTTCCCGTGAAAAATCTTCGGAATAAGATTACAAATTTTCACAAAATGTCTGTTTTCATTGAAAATGTTCAGATTTTTCTTGAAAAACTTGGGCTGTCCATTAACCACAGTTAACTCACGTGTTTAACTCAAAACATTAATTGAGATTAAAAAAAATTAATCATGATTAATTGCAGTTTTAATCACACTGTTAAACAATAGACTACCAATTGAAATTTATTAAATATTTGTGGATGTTTTTCTATATTTTAAAATATATTTATTTCAGTTACAACACAGAATAGAAAGTATACAGGACTCACTTTATATTATTATATTTTATTACAAATATTTGCACAGTAAAAATGATAAAAGAAATAGTATTTTTCAATTCACCTCATCCAAGTACTATAGTACAATCTCTTTATCGTCAAAGTGCAACTTACAAATGTAGATTTTTTTTTACATAACTGCACTCAAAAACAAAACAATGTAAAACTTTAGAGCTTACAAGTCCACTCAGGCCTACTTTTTGTTCAGCCAATCACTAAAAGAAACAAGTTTGTTTATATTTACAGGAGATAATGTTGCCCGCTTCTTATTTCTAATGTCACCTGAAAGTGAGAACAGGGTACCAATGTGAAATTTCTAAAGAAAGCTACAGCTCTTGACCCAAAGTTTAAGAATCTGAAGTGCCTTCCAAAATCTGAGAGGGACAAGGTGTGGAACATGATTTCAGAAGTCTTAAAAGAGCAACACTCTGATGTGGAAACTGCAGAACCCGAACCACCAAAAAAGAAAATCAACCTTCTGCTGGTGGCATCTGACTCAGATGATGAAAATGAACAAGCGTTGGTTCGCACTGCTTTGGATCGTTATTGAGCAGAAACTGTCAGCAGCTTGGATGCATGTCCCCCGGAATGGTGGTTGAAGCAGGAAGGGACATATGAATCCTCAGTGCCTCTGGAATGTAAATATCTGGTGACGCCGGATACAACAGTGCAATGAGAATGCCTGTTCTCACTTTCAGGTGACATTGTGAGTAAGACGCTGGCAGCATTATCTCCTGCAAATGTAAACAAACGTGTTTGCCCGAGCAATTGGCTGAACAAAAAGTAGGACTGAGAGGACTTGTAGGCGCTAAAGTTTTACATTATTTCATTTTTGAATGCAGTTATTTTTTGTACATAAATCTACATTTTTAAGTTCAACTTTCGTGATAAAGAGATTGCACTAAAGTAATTGTATTAGGTGAATTGAAAAATACAATTTCTTTCATTTTTTTAAAGTTCAAATATTTGGAATAAAACATAAATATAAAGTGAGCACTGTACACTTTCTATTCTGTGTTGTAATTGAAATCAATATATTTGAAAATGTAGAAAACATCCAAAATATTTAAATAAATTATATTCTATTATTGTTTAACAGCACGATTAATTGCAATTAATTTTTTTTAAATGCTTGACAGCCCTATGAAAAACCCAAATTTATTTGTGGAACATGAAAAATATCCATGGTCATTCATATTTTGTGGAGAAAAGGATGAATTTCCAAGCAGCTCTAGTGTATTTAGTGGCTTCTTTATTTTAAAGTCTTAAAAAACGTGTTGTCTCGAATCAGAAAACAATAGTAAGAAAAGGAAGTCATATGTAACCTGTTTTGACCAAGACTGCCATGGATAGTGGCTCTGGGCTAGATCCCAAAAGGGACTTGGACGTTGCAAGGCCTGACTCCTAGATGCCTTGCCATCCAATGGAATCCTCAGTCCTAAGTCACATGCCCAGCTCCCCGTACAATGCATGGGGAGAGTTAGGCATAGGAAGCCAGAAAGCTGAGCAGGGAATGACCTACATTTGCCAGCAGTGAAATGCCAAGGAAGGGAGTAGGGCCTAGATCAGGGGTGGGCAAACTATGGCCCGGGGGCTGCATCTGGCTGTCCAGATGTTTTAATCTGGCTCTCGAGTGCTCGCCGGGGAGTGGGATCCGGGGCTTGCCATGCTCTGGCGCTCCAGCCGTCGGTGGGGTCAGAGACTTGCCCCACTCTGTGCGGCTGCCAGAAGCAGCAGCATGTCTTGTCTCCAGCTCCTACGCATAGGGGAAGCCAGGGGGCTCCACACGCTGCTCCCGCCCCAAGCGTTGCCCCCGCAGCTCCCATTGGCCAGGAACCATGGCGAATGGGAGCTGTAGAGGTGGTGCCTGTGGACAGGGCAGCGCACAGAGCCACCTGGCCGTGCCGCTGCGTAGAAGCCAGAATGGAGACATGCTGCTGCTTCCGGGAGCTACTTGAGCTAAGAACCACCTGGAGCCTGCACCCCTGACCCCTCCCATGCCCCAACCCCCTGCCCCAGCCCTGATCCCTCTCCCGCCCTCCGAACCCTTTGGTCCAGCCCGAAGCACCCTCCCACACACTGAACTCCTCATTTCTGGCCCCATCCCAGAGCCTGCACCCCAAGCTGGAGCCCTCACCACCTCCCGCACCCCAACCCCCAATTTGGTGTACATTCATGGCCCGTCATACAATTTCCATACCCAGATGTAGCCCTTAGGCCAAAACATTTGCCCACCCCTGGCCTAGATACACAAAGTTATTTAGACACCAAACTGCCATTGATCTAAGCCTCAGGCCCCTGACACACAGTCAGAGGTAGGCACCTATCTCTGCTCAGTGATCTCAGTCATGAACCCACTCCTGGAGCTCGGCATGTAAGCTAGGTCAGCTCTCTCATCTCCCCATTTTACCCCTAACCCAGTGGTTAAAACACTCAACTGGGATGTGGGAAATCCACATTCAATCCCTGCTCTGTCTGATTTGGAGCAGGGATGTGAACACAGGTGAGTGCCCTAGTAACTATAGAGCAGGGGTAGGCAACCTATGGCATGCGTGTCGAAGGCGGCACACGAGCTGATTTTCAGGGGCACTGACATTGCCTGGGTCCTGGCCACCGGTCCGGGGGGGCTCTGCATTTTAATTTAATTTTAAATGAAGCTT